GCAATAGTTTATTGATATTGTGGGGGAAAATACTCTATAAGAGAAATATATCAATACTAGAAAAGGGTTCCTCACAAAGTTTACTTTCCAATTGTCCTCAATCAGTCACTTAATTGGTGGTGTTTTGTCCAAAAATTTAGGAATATAAAAGGCTTCACCACTGGTTCTTCCTCTCTATTACAAATTAAGTGCAAGGGCGCATGATCTTCTGGTTAAGTGGTGTACCTCAGATGACGGTAATAGGTTCATGAACTCCTAATTTTACAACATTCTAACGAGTCTCTTGAAAATACAATGCTCCTCTATTCTTTCTTCCACCATGTAGAATTATTTCCTGAGTATTTTATTTCAACTAGACCACAATTTTGGATGCATTGTGTAAAGTCCAATGCTTGTTGCTGTAAGAAAGGTAGTCCGCCTTGTTTCTCCTCTTCATTAAGTACATTAAAATCCCCTCCTACAACCAATGTTTTCGACATTGTCCTGCTATCTCCTCCATATGGATTCCCATAATTCAAGTTTGTCATATATTACAATGATTAAAAGCTCCACATCATTACATTTTACACTCATTGTCGCTTGTTGTATGGAGTCTTTCACTAGTTGTGCAGTCCATCCCTCCTCCAAAAACAATTAAATCTTTGATGTACAATTACAAAAAGCATTCTTGAAGCCAATTATTTTGGTGTTTTCTATTGATGTGTAATATTTAGGTCTATTAGCCTCTCAAAAGATTTTTGTGTGTAAACAGACCTAATATTCCAAAGTACTTCCAATCATTGATCACTATAACTTATCTTTACTACGCCTTGTTCTAACTTGAAGAGGGATTGTTTTATTTCCACTCTTCATGTTATCCATTTGCCGGGGTGGTAAGTCTCTGTTTCTTGATCTTCATCCTCTTCTGTATCTTTTCTCTTTTTTACTTGATCTTCTATTAATTCTTGACCATCAGGAATACCGTCCCACTCTTCCCATTTCTTTTTTGGAGCCACTTCATTAATTCTACCCTCTGGCTGGCAGTTCTCCCCTCTCTCAAACACTGCCTCATTATTTTTGTTTGAACTTTACTCATCATCCACCTCTTTCCTACGTCCCTCTTTCGAGTTAGGACTCGTCAATTTCATCAAACATGATGTGCAGGTTTCTCCAATCTGTTAACAACTCTTATCCTCTCCCATTGTGTTATTTTTGTTAAAAGAAAGTGTCATTCACCCAGCCTTTTGTAGTTTCTTCTGTCTTCCCTTTTCCCTCTGTAGTATTAATCTTCTTGTTGTTTTGGGCACTCTCTACCTCCTCCTCTTTCCGACCAGGTTCTTGTTCTGCCAAGGCCGCAAACTGATTTGTTGTTATGTCGACATTTGTTTGTTCCTCAGGTTTCTTACACCACACTTTTTCTGGTTTTCTTCTTTCATATTGCCATTCCCTTCAATTTTCTTTGTCTTCTGCTTAGTGAATTGTCCATCTTCCTTGTTCTTCTCTGTAGCCTCTTTTGGTTGATTTATCTCCTCCTTTCCTGTAGTTTTTTCCTTCTTATTAGGATAGAGTTTCGGGTGGATGACATGGCACTGCTGATCGTCATGACATTGTTGTATCCTTCTCCGTAATCTCTCTTGTTTGTTTTCTAATGCCCACATAAATCCTTTTGGGGAATTTTCGTAGATCTAGTTCAACTTTAACCCTTGAGCAACTTGGCCTAGTTTAATTCTTTTATAGCAAGATTCACCTGGAGAGGCTTTCCAACCGCTGCCCGCTAATAACGAAAATATTGACTCCTTCCCGAAAAAAATTGGTGGCAAGGATGGAAAAGAGATGCATGTGATTTCCTCCTTCAGATCAAATAATGGCTCCCACTTCGAAGTCCTCATGGGGTATATATATGTCCAATTTTCGATGTGCTTCTAAAAAGGTGGCTTTGAGAGTATACTCACGTAGTCCTCCAAATTAGATGTCCTGATCAATTTGTTGTTGCTCAAGTGTCCTATATTGCATTCACCTTCAACTCGTATTGTTTTGGGATCAATCTACGTAGGTCGTGAATGTTCGGCCATCCATATGAGAATTGTCTGATTATCGCATATTGCGTTCTCGTTCTTTATCATCTCCACTTCCTCGCAAATCACTCTAGGCTCTCCGTGAAGATAAGTAAAAGGTTTTATAGTAATAGGTTTTTTGTTGACTGATGGTAGTCGTAGCTTATCAAAATAGTGCTGTTTCACTATGTGTTCTTGTGATGCCACCAGCGTGTGTGGTGGCCATGTACTTTAAGAAATGGTTTTGTAAATTAAAACAATCTTCTAGCCAACAATATACATAGATGTTAATATGAAACTTGTTTTTCGAATATCAATGTCACTGAAAGAGGAATGTTGTGTGCATGTACTTCAAAAAATTGCAAAGTCAATTGTTTTTATTATATCAACAGATAACTATTACTTGTAAGTTGTTGAACTTGGGAATGTATATTCATTATGGTGCAGGAAGTATCCCATTGATGTTCATGTGCTTATATATTATTTCCAACACTGCATGACAAGGATATAAACTCAAATTTGGTCATATATATATAGCATGCATCAACTGGAAGGATAGTTCTTGTACAAAACTTGTGTAATTTGTTATTTAGCAACATAGTTCTTACCATATCTCAATCAGAGGAACCATTTTAAAACTCAGGATGAGAAGACACGATCCTACACATATAATCACTGAACCAAGGAAAGACAAATTGGAAAAACAAAGAAAAGATGAAATAACAAAATTGGGAGGCCATTTTAATGACTTGCACAATCTTGAATCCCCAAAATTAATAGTCAGATAATGAGTCTACACTCTTTCTCTTCTCTTTACTTTTTCATTTTATTTTATAATGGTGGTGTTTGCCGAAATCAGCTTGCATGCCTCTTTACTTTTTCCTTTTATTTTATAATGGTGGTATTTGTCGAAATCAGTTTGTACGCCTCTCTCTATGTATCTACATGTATCTAGTGTGATTTGCATGTATATGAGGATCTCAAGTGCATTTTTTCATCTTTCACCTCTCTCCCTATTTTAGTGTATTTGGTAACAAAAATATATGTGTTTAGGTGTATCTAATATGAAATTATTTTTTAATAAAAAAATATATAATATTATTTCAAACTATAGGAAGAAGTATTACCCCGCGCTCTGCGCGTTTATAAATATTAATTACATTAAACTTGCAAATATTTTTTTTTATAATTATTCATACATTAAATATAATGTAAAAAATAGGTTCTTAGAAAATATTAGGAATATTTCAACATGAATTTGATTATTTTTCATTATCACATAACTCAAGAACCTTTAATGAATGAAATATTGACGAAATAATAAATCATTGGTTCTTTAATCAACATTTAAAGAAATATAAAGAAGTAAATATGAATATATATACAAAGGCATTTCATAATACAAAGAAACGTTTAAGTTACATAGATTACACATTTTTGATATACGTCTTAGGAGAAAATTCAAAATGTTAACATATTCAAAAAAGAAATAACGCTTGAACATGAAAACAATTAAAACTTCTGAACTTGCATAATGAATTTCTTCAATTGATATGTGAGAAATTTCAATCTATTTAAAAATAGATAATATATAATATTAGATACGGTACTTTTAAGTTATTGAATTTAATATAAAATATTAATTCATGAATTCTTGGAACTGAGTATAATAAATTATATTCTGCAAAATGAATATATGTAATATATGTGTTATATGTTCAATATAACCGGAGACAATAACTTTGCAGGAGTTTAAAACATGTACTCAAAAACAACAATTAATATCGTAAGAATAAATTAATGAGTGTAAAAAAACATACCAAGATATGTAGAAACACAATGCAATAGAAAGAAAAAAAAATTGATACTGAATGCACAACTTCCCTTCAAGAAAATTATTCCCCTTCAATACCAAAGGTTTAAAGCATTATATCCTCTCAGGATGGAACAATGTTAATCACCAACCTATTGATACAAAATTTGTGGTGTTATTAAGTCACTCAACACGAATATTAAATTTTTCAAAAGTAGAAGAAGAAGATAAAAATTTTTGTTGTTTAAAAATGAGAGAAAATTCAACTATTTATAGACAACTTAGGGTAGTGTGAACAAATCTTTCTTGTGCTTATCAGAAATATTATAACTATTTGGAAAAGTTACAACCCATAGGAAACTTCACAATCTTTCATAAAAGTCGCAACTCTTCATTAAAGTCGCAACTCTTCATTGAAGTCGCAACTTTTCATAAAACTCACAACTTTTGATAAAAGTAAATCGCAACTCTTCATAAAGTCACAACTTTTCATAAAAGTCATAACTCTTCATTAAAGATAATTTTTCATAAAAGTCCCATTTTTCATGAAAAAAGAAGGCTAGTTTTGGAAATAAATAATTTAAAAAGAAATTCTTGATTGTGGTGGCGCCACGTAGGCTGGCCTAGGGTTCTCTTTTATATAAATATACGATATGATAGCTACCCTATGTTTGAAGAGTTGGTTTTCACCTCTGGATAAATAAAATTACCAAATTGAATTTTAAAAGAAGTCAAGAACACCAATGAGAGACCATGTTAAATCTTCTCTCCAAGTTGTAGTAATATTTTCATAATAAGGTTACTTTACTTTGGTTTTAATGTAAATCAAGTGAAACAACACCATTTTTTTATTTGATATATGACTTCAATAAAAATGAATGTGATATCATATTCACTTTCGACCCATATAAAATAATTTACTTTGAACTGGTAACTAAAAGCTGCTCTCTTTTGCTTTTCCAGGATTTTAAATCATCTGTCTTTCTGGTGAAAGAGGCATTTTCTCAGAATTGTGAGAAGGAAGCTCGTAGAATGTTGTGTAAAAGAATTGAACTTTTGTGCTACTGAGAGTCGTGGGGAATTACAGGACTCGGTCCCTAACAAATCAAAAGGGATTGAAGATGAGCTCATTATCAAGCTTAAATATTCTATAATAGAAGTTGATGTATGTGCCCTTAACAAATTAAAGGTGATTATTTTATTGATGCAGCTTGGTCAAATGTACAATTGTCGTTGTTAAAGGATGGTGATGATGAATACTCACTGCTTGTTGACTTGAACAGGTTGTATGAACTTCAATTGTCAAGGAAAATATCCATTGAAAGATTGCATAAAGATCTTGCAGAGATTCTCAAAAACTTCAGAAGTATTGATGACGAGGTGGGTATATTGTAGTTTGAGTAATACTTTTTCTTAGTCTTGCCAATACACAACTTCTATAATTTACTTGTTTAGATTATTAGATTTTATTCTTCTAACATGTCTCCTGTCAGTGCCTTTTATTCTCTTTTGGTTAATTGAGTTTGTTGTTTTTCTTGGTCTAGCTTTGTGTTGTTTTTTCAGAACAATTGAACAATGGTGGTTGTTTCAGGAAAGCAACCCTTGCATCCACAGAGATTTTTGGGTTCAATCCTGATGAATACATTCTTCAAAAGTTTTGGAAACTTTGCTAATGCAACAACATATTCCAGGTAGTTTTTGCTCTCCTATTCATTGTTTTCTTTCAATGCGTGTCAGTTGTAGCTCAAATGTTACTATTGTACAGAGGAATATTGTATGGCTCTAATAGAATTATATTTAAACTATAGAAAAACCTGCATCTAGATAATTAATTTTTGGTATCATGCTTCATATTATAACACATTTATTTATCGAAGAAACTTGAATTAGAATTGAGATGCCATGTAGTCTTGATCTATACTTTCTTATTAGATTTCTATTAAATATCTATGGCTAAGTTTAAGTGTTAACAGAGAAAGGGCCAAAACTACCCTTCACCTATGCAAATTGGTAATCATTGTTGTTGGGAAGTTGGTTGCTACTGATCCAGTTCCTAAGGTTAGGTGTATCATGTTTTCAACTAAGAGAATATAGGAACTTCTAAGAAAAAATTAGGAGAATTTTAAATATACTTCTTTTTGTGTATTTGTTCAATAAGGCATGGGATCGTCCATTTTCAAAGATTGTGGATCTCGCATTCGTATTTCCACATTGGTCTCAACCATGCTCCATTACAAATCTTCCAACACTATTAGAGTATTGGTGCCAAGATATCGATCTTTTACTTGCTAATAATTAATGAATCTAGTTTTTTTAAGATCTAAAAATATATCAATATTCTGGAATGGTCAAATCTTCTAGCTTGCCTTCTCCATTTGATGTCCCTTTTCAACCAATGACTTCCCAAGTATATGGGAAGGGAAATCGTGTAGCATTTTGATCGCTTTTGGAGCCACACTACAATTAAAGGCCCATTGTGATTATTCTGTAAGAATTACTCATTCCTCTTTGAAAAGTCACGTTACCTTATCAGTTCCTAAAAAAAGTCATTACAGATAATCTTGTTCTTTGAAGGTGAATTGCTTCCTTCCTATTCAAGGAATGAAACCATTAGAAGCTTTGTTGTGCTTGCTTGCTTCAATTCCTCTTTCATAGATTCTAATTATATTTTACTTTGTTGTTGAGTCTTTTTTGTTATATCTATTGAGATGGTTTACACAAGCTTATTATTATAGGACGTTCATTCATTCATTTGCAGATATTTTTGAAAGCCTTGGAGCAACTTTAAATGTTGCTAAACCAACAAAAGGTTCAAGTGTGGCCAAATTTTTGATTGGGGTTGTAGGTAAGCTATGAGTATTCTTCACATGGCAAATAACTTTCTTTTTCTGTTTCTTTATTCCATATATCTGTTTATCTTCCTAATGATCTTATCTCATTTGGTAAGGCTACAGAATGAACAAGAATTGTTGGTGCTTCAAGAATAATTGGTGTTGATTAAAGTGCTAGCATATTTGAGCTAGGTAATTAATTTGTGCCTTACACATTCTTGATCCATTATTTCATAATTCCTTCCTTGTACTGGAAAGTTAAAGTGGGGGTCGTGTATTATGGTCCACGGTAAAGCAATTGCAGCAATTTGTTTCCGTTAGTGTGTGTGTCAGATGTTATACACACTCTCTCTTTTCTTTCTAAAACGACAAGGCAGTGCTTGCAAATTCCCAACCTTGTTATTAAGAGAATCTGTAAAGGAGATTTGCCTTTAGTTTTCTGATGATGATGATAGATATTAGTAAAATTTAACTGTTTCTACAAGCAAAATGGGCATCTATGCTCCCTGGTTTTTTCACTTTGTTTTATTAAAGTGATCTTACCTTTATTTTTTTACTTCCATGTTATTAAGAGGCAGATAATTATTTTGATGGGGAAGGGGATGATATCCATTTGGGGAGAGGTATAGTCAAAATTTGGGACTTTGTGACAGCCTAAGGTGTGGGTCTCATGTAAAGACTTCTGTATGGGTCTCAATACAACTAATTAACCAGTTAGTTGTTGTACAATTGTGATTGTCGTTGTAGTGACTTCCAAAAACTTTAGAACATTGATGTTCAAGATTATTTCAATTGTACAATATGATTTGTACAATACCTCTTATGTACTGACACATATTGTACGCTACATCTTCTCGTGATGTAGGTTCAGGTGCTCAACATTCAGATCACGTGGAGATCGATTATCGATCCGTTTCTGTGGTGAGTCCTCATTCTTTGAGAACGATTGACATGTATATTTTATAGTCAATCTTCCATTTAAGTTTCAGTTTTTTTTAGAGATAGTTGGAGGCATGTGTCCCAACATCTCTAGTCAGTTCGAGGATTTTATTGAGAGATAGTTTTTGCCACACCCCGAGGTTACCTTGAAAGTTGGCAAATCATAAAAGCATAATAGATCAACACCTTAAAAAATCTTTAAAACCTTACCTAAGAAATCTAAACCCCTACGAAACCCTAAACCTTACTGAAAAACCCTAAACCCTAAGAAGTCAAAAACCCTAAAAAAGCCTTTAAAAACACCAAATCTAAAGAACTCTTAAAATCCCTACTCCCTAAAAAAATCCTAAATCTAATAAAATCCTAAACCCTAAGAACCCTATAATCGTAAAAAATCGTGAAAAAACCTTTGAAAACATGAACCTAAAAAAACTTGAAACCTGAAAAATTCTACAAAAACATAAGCCTTAAAAAACCCTTAATAAAAAACCTAGACCAAAAATTCTAAATCCTAAGAAACCTTTAACCCTTCACCCTAATCCTTAAGGCTAAAAAAAGGAAACCCTAAAGCTTACGAAATAAAAAACCTTAAAAAAAAATAAAAACCTCAAACTATAAATCTTTAAAAACCTTATAAAAATTCAAATAAGAACCCTTTAATCATAAAAAAATCAAAAAATCCTAAAAACCCTAATCCTAAAGATTCCTCTAAACGTTGAAAAACCTTAGAAATCTTCAACCCTAAAAACCCTTAAAAAATCAAACCCTGAGAAATCTTAAATGTTAAATCCTATACCTTAAGAAACTATAGATCTTTTACTCAAAACTATAAGGCTAAATACTAAACGCCACACCTTATGAAACACTAAGAAAATCTAGATCGTAAAACCCTATTAAATCCCTAGAACTGTAATACCCCGAAAAACACAATAAATCTATTTAAAATCCTAAGCCCTTAAAGAAAATCCTAAGTACTGTAAATCTTTAGAAATCTAAAAGCTTAAAAAGATCTAAGCAACCCCAAAAACATTTAAAACAAAATTATAAAAATCATAAACCCTGAAAAAGTAAAAAAAAATCTTTTAACCTAAAGTTCAAAGCCCTGAACCTTTAACCAAGAAACCCTAACATAAGCTAAGAAACTCAAGAAACACTAAATCGTAAATGCTAATACCCTAAAACATCCTAAACCCTAAATCCTAAAAAAAACTTAAAAATACTAAGCCCTACACCATAATTTACCCAAAAGATAATTTTAAATAGCACTAAACCCTAAAAGTGACTAACAAAACCTAATCCCTTAAAAACCAAAGAAACCCAAACTCTTAACCCTGATCTATTACCGTTTAAAACCAAAGCCTTATCCTAAGCAAACACTAAATACAAAAAAAAACACTAAGTAAACCTGAACCCTAAAAACAACAAAAAAGAACTTCATAAACTCTTAACCTAAAAAATCCTTAAGAAATCTTAAACCTAAAAACCCTTGACCAAATTCTTAAACCCTTATTCATCATGTTCGCATTTTATCATTGTTCAATATGCTTTGTGTTGAGTTATACATATTTTTTCAACTTTATCCTATTATGCATGCTCGGTACCTTTCAAGTACTAACACACATTCTACGCTACCTCTTCTCCTGATGTAGGTAAGGTCCTCAACATTCAAATCACTTGGAGATCAGCTCCCCATTTGTGTTCAACAATATCAATGGTAAGTCCTCATTCTTCGAGGACGATTGACATATTTTATATTCAGTTTTCCATTTTAGTTTTAGTTTTGATAGAGTTAGCTGGGGGCATGTCCTAGCATCTCTAGTAGTTAGAGACTTTTTATTCAGAAATAGTTTTTGTCACGCTCCAAGGTTACCTTGTTGACGTAACAAGGGACCTAGGATTACAAGTGACCTCAATCTAATTTTAAAAACCTTCTAAAAGCCAAAACGCAAGAAATCAAAAACCTCTAAAAACCTTAAATCATAAAGGCTAAAACCTAAGAAACAGTTTAAACCCTATTCCTTCTGGAAAAAACGCTAAACATAAAACCTAGATTCTAAGAATCCTAAATGCTAAAATCTATACCTAACAAACCCTAAACCCTTCACCATAAACTTTAGGGCTTCTAACTCTTCAGAATTAAAAAAAACTATAAACATTTAAAAAGCCAAGTGTAAAACCCTAAACCCTATAAAACCCCTAAACCCCTTTAAAAGCCCTTAACCTTAAACCCTTAAATCGTAAAAAACTATGAAGATCCTAAAAACCCTCTAAAACCTATACCAAAAAATTCATCTAAACCTTAGAAAAACTTTGAAAATCTTAAGCATGCCCAAAATGCTATAAACTCTAAGAAATCCAAAACAGAAAATCGTATATCTTAAGAAACTCTAAATCCTCAACTCTTAACCTAATGCAACCCTAAAACCCTTTAATACCACAAAACACACAATAAATCTCTTTAAAACCCTAAGCCTACCTTTAATACTCCTAAAACTATAATACCACTACACACACAATAGTTTACTTTAAAATCAACATCCTAAACATAAAATCCTACGTAACCCTAAATCATAAGAAATCCAAAATCATAAAAAGACCTAAGAGACGCTTAAAATATTTAAAAACCTCAATCATAAAAATGATAAACCTAAAAAAGACCATAAATCCTAAAAAAACCTCTTACCTACAACTCGAAACCCTATACCTACTAAACATTAAACCTTTGTCCTTAACCCTAAACATAAAGAAACCTTTAAAAAAAAAATTAAACCCCAAAAATCTTTCTAAACGCTGAAGCAACCAAGAAACCCTGACATACGCTAAGAAACAAGCAGAAACACTAAATCGTAAATTCAAAAAAAAACTCTAAACCTTAAACCCTTATAAACCCTAATATCCTAAAACCTAAGATCCTAAAATATATACCTTAAGAAACCTTATACCTAAAAAACTCTAATACCCTAAACTCTATGAAACCTTTAGAAAGTCCAGAAAAAAACCTTTTACAAACCCTAAAACCTTAACTTTAAATAACCTAATAAACATTAAGCCCTACACCATAATTTAACCTAAAAATAATTGTTTTAAAATTGTGAACTCTATGGAACTCCAAACCCTAAGAACTCTTTAAATCTTAAAAACCTCTAAATAATCTTAGACATGTCAAACCTAATCCCTTAATCCTACAACCTAAAAACCCTAAAAAAACTTAGGAAACCTTACATGTCAAACCTAAACCCTAAACCTTAAGGATAAACTTCCAACCCTAAACTCTAAGAAACCCCATATCCTAAGAAAAATCAAACACAAAAACCCGATAAAAACCTTTAAAACCCAAACAAAGAACCCTTAAAACAAATCGTAAAAACCCTAACAATAATCATTAATATAAAACCCTAATCTCTAAGCCTTAAGAACTCCTAAATCGTAAAAATAGTAATGATCCTAAAAAATCTTTAAAAACCTAAATAAAAAAACCTCTTAACCTAAAAAAATCTTACAAAAACTTAAGCTCCTATAATCCAAAAGAAACAGAACCCCATGAACCCCAAAATCGTAAAAAAATCATAAAAATCTTGAAAACCCCTTTTAAAACCCTAAATGTAAAAAAACTCTCAACCTAAATTTTTTTACAAAACCTTAAGCCCTAAACCTTTAAAGATAAAAACTTTTTAATAGAAAACCTAGACCTTAAACCCAGATGGTGAAATCGAAACCCTAAAACTTAGAAATGACCAAAACAAAACCTAAAAACATTTGAAAATCCTTAATCCTAAACTTTTGAAAACTTGAAACCCTGTAAAAACCCCAAGTTCTTAGAAAGTCTTCTTAATTAGAAATAAAATAAAAACCTTTTAAAATTCTGAACCAAAAAATTCTAGAAAATCTTAAGCCAAAACCCTAAACCCTAAAAACCGTTAAATAAACCAAACACTAAGAAATCGTAAATGATAAATCCTATACCCTAAGAAATTCTAAATCCTTAGCTCTAAGCCATTGAGCTAAACCCCAAACCCCAAACCATATGAAACAGTTAACCCTAAATACTTTAAAACCCCTAAAACTATAATACCTTAAAAAACACAATAAATCCCTTTAAAACCCTAACCCCTAAAACATTTAAAAAACTCTAATCATAAAAACCGCAAACGTAAAAAAGCATAAACCCTAAAAAACTCTTAACTTAAAACCTAAAACATTAAACCATATACCTTAGAGCCTAAACCATAAACCTTTGGCATTAACCATAAACATAAAGAAACACTAGCAAAAACTCTTCAAACACCTAAAAATCTTTAAAACCCTAAACCTGAAAACCCTTAAGAAAATCATAAGTCTTTATGAACCCTAAAAAAAACTCAAAGAAAAAAAAATCTTTAAACCTTTACCCTTAGTCATAAACCTTAACATACGTTAAGAAAGTGAAGAAAGAGTAAATCTTATATCCTAAGAAACTAAAAACCTTAAACCCTACACTCTAGGAAACCCTAATACCTTATAACCTAAGATCCTAAATCCTAAACCCAAAGCAACAATATATGTTAGAAACCCTGATGCCCTATACGCTAAACCCTATAAACCTTTCAAAACTCTAACAAAAAAAACCTTCTAGAACCTCTTTTTACCTTGAACCTAAAAAACATAGAAAATACTAAGCCCGACACCATACTAAATCCCCCAAAAATCATTTTTTAAAAAACCTAAACCCTAAAAATAACTAAGAATATTCTACGCTACATCTTATCGTGATGTAGGTTCAGGTCCTCAGCATTTAAATCACGTGGAGATAGGTTCCCGATCTATGATGAGCAATATCAGTGGTGAGTCCTTGTTCTTCGAGGACGATTGAAAGGCTTATATATTCAGTCTTCCATTTTAGTTTTAGTTTTTCTATAGTTATGTCACGACCGAAATCGGGCCGCGACTGGCACCACACTTACCCTCCTATGTGAGTGAACCAATCAATCTAAACCTTAATATTTCAATATAATATCAACAGAAAGTAATGCCGAAGACTTAAACTCATTAATAAAAACCCATTCAATAACTTCTAAAAAGTCAACAACTATTATTATTATCCCCAAAATCTGGAAGTCATCATCACAAGAATATCTATCCTCAAATTACTAATCTAAGAGTATCTAAGAAGCTAAAATACATAAAAAGCTAGTCCATGCTGGAACTTCAAGGCATCAAGACATGAAGAGCAAGAATCTAGTCCAAGCTAGACGCATTAGCTCACCCTGAAATTCGGAGTAATGAAGACTGGCTAGAGTTGCGGTTGAGTTGAAGACGACGGTATGTTTGCTGCACTCCACAAATAATTAAAAAAAACATACAAGTAGGGGTTAGTACAAAACACAGGTACTGAGTAGATATTATCGGCCAACTCAAAATAGAAAACAGTATATATCAGATGGTATCATAAAATAAACTACAATACTCAACATGCGGCAATTACAATTACCATAACCCTTGGTCATAACTCCAAGCTCATCAATGAGGACTCACGCCTCCCATCATACTCATTTGGGAATTAGGTTCATTAAATTGAGTATATTAACATGTTTCAAGATTCATTCTCTTTACTAATCCTGGTGTCGGAACGTGACACTCCGATCCTTATCATACTATCCTGGTACCGGTACGTGGCACCCGATCCATATATTCTATCCTGGTATCGGAACGTGACACTCCGATCCTCATATACTATCCTGGTACCGGAACGTGGTACCCGATCCATATTCTATCCTGGTGTCAGAACGTGACACTCTGATCCTCATATACTATCCTGGTACCGAAACGTGGCACCCGATCCATATTCTATCCTGGTGTCGGAACGTGACAATTCGATCCTCATATACTATCCTATTACGGGAACGTGGCACCCGATCCATATTCTATCCTGGTGTCGGAATGTGACACTCCGATCCTCATATACTATCTTGGTACCGGAACGTGGCACCCGATCCATATTCTATCCTTGTGTCAGAACGTGACACTTCGATCCTCATATACTATCCTGGTACCAGAACGTGGCACCTGATCCATATTCTATCCTGGTGTCAAAACGTGACACTCCGATCCTCATATACTATTCCTAGTACCGGAACATGGCACCCGATCCCCTAATCTCACTACTTTCATTCATCAAGCCTTCTTTTATACCAAGACATCATCATTAACAAAGTAGATTAGGGTTTCTTTTTCAAGATTTAGGATTCAATAGTTTCATCATGCTTATTTCATCACAATTATATCATCACAACATGCAAACGCATAATTAAGCATATAGAAGGGTTTACAACACTACCCAATACATATTATTCGCTATTAAGAGTTTACTACGAATAGTATAAAAACCATAACCTACCTCCACCGAAGATTTGTAATCAAGCAAGCAAGTTCCCAAAGCTTTGTTCTTTTTCTCGTTTCTCCTCTTTCTCGTTCGATTCTCTTTCTATCTCTTTCTGTTCTTTTCTTTTTCTTATTCAAACCCTCTTTCTTTTACCCTAATTAGCATATAATTAAGTATAAAAGATGATGAATTAACCCATTAATTAATTCAAGGTTATCTCTTTTTACCCTCAAGTAGTTAAATTATTAACATTAACCCACTAAATTTATAATTATAGCAGGAATAGTCCAAAACGTCCCTTAAAACAATTAAAGAAATCCGATCCCACCTAGGATTATGCAGCCTGTGATGGGCCGTCGTGCCTGCGACGGTCCGTCCTACTGAGTCGTCACAGAGATCAGAGACTCACTTTTTATTAAAGACCCTGTGACGGCCCATCATGCATGTGACGGTCCGTCCTACACTTTCATCACGAAGTTCAGATAGTCGATTTCAGTACCCAAATTTCAGAATTCTATGTGTTTTGGAACGAGATCCCCTCGACGGTCCGTCGTGCCCATGACGGTCCGTCGTGGGATCCGTCGTCTCAGCCAGTTTTTCTAGAAATAAAATCTGTTGCTCAACCGACTAAACAGGTCATTATAATAGATACCAATTTACCCATCGTTCATCCCTGAACGATCAAAAGAAGAAAAACAAGGGCGAAAAGGAGTACCTGAATCTGTAAAAAGGTGTGGGTATCTTTCTTGCATATCTGCCTCCTTCTCCCAAGTGGCTTCTTCAACTGGTCCATTCTTCCATTGAACTTTGATGGATGCAATCTCCCTTGATCTCAACTTGAGAATTTCTCTATCTAGAATGGCAACAGGTTCCTCCTCATAAGACAAATTTTCATCAAGCAGCACTGAATCCCAACGGATGTACTCCGGACAGCCCTGGAGGCAAGGCTAATTCATAAGCCTCCCCTACCCGCTTAAGTACTTCAAATGGTCCAATATACCTTGGGCTTAGCTTACCTCTTTTACCAAACCGCATCACCCCTTTCATGGGCGAAACCTTCAGCAAGACTTGCTCACCTTCCATAAACTCCAAGTCTCTAACCTTTTGATTTACATATTAATTTTGTCTGCTTTGAGCCGCTAAAAGCTTTTCTTGAATAGATTTCACCTTCTCTAATGAGTCCCTCAAAAGGTCAGTACCCTAAGGTCTAACCTCAAATGCTTCAAACCAACCAATAGGAGACCTACATCTCCTCCCATACAATGCTTCGAATGGAGCCATATCAATACTTGAGTGATAGATACTATTGTATGAAAACTCCGCTAAGGGTAAGAAGTTATCCCAATGAACACCAAATTCTATCACACATGCACGAAGCATATCCTCCAACACTTGAATCGTTCGCTCAGACTGACCATCGGTCTGAGGGTGAAATGCAGTACTAAGGTCCAACCTAGTACCAAATTCAGCATGCAATGTTCTCCGAAACTTAGAAGTAAACTGCGTACCTCTATCTGATATGATGGAGAGTGGAACTTCATGCAATCGAACGATTTCTGAGATATAGATTTTGGCCAACTTCTCTGCATTGTAGGTCACCTTGACTGGAATGAAGTGAGCAGAATTAGTTAACCTATCAAGGATTACCCAAATAGAGTCAAACTTCCCCAATGTCTTTGGAAGACCAACCACGAAGTCAATTGCAATTCTCTCCCACTTCCATTCAGGAATGGGCATTCTCTGAGGTATTCCTCCGGGCCTTTGGTGTTCATACATTACTTGTTGACAATTTGGACATTTGGCAACAAATTCAACAATGTCGCGCTTCATTCTACTGCACCAAAAGTGTTGTTTTAGGTCACGGTACATCTTGGTTGCACCAGGATGTATAGAATATCCGGAACTATGAGTTTCTATAAGAATAGTGTGGATCAAATCATCAACACGGGGCACACATACCCTTCCCTTAATTATCAAAACACCTTCCTCATCCATTATTGCTTCTTTAGCCTCTCCTCGCAACACCATATCCCGAATTCGGCTTAGTTTCTCATCATCAAACTGTTTTCCCTTGATCTTGTCAAGAAAGGAAGATCTTGCCTCCACACAAGCCAAAAATCCTCCCTTCTCATTTAGTTCTAACCTCATAAAGTCATTAGCTAGAGTCTGAACCTCTCTAGCCAATAGACGTATAGAAACATGCAAGTGAGCTAGACTTCCCATTCTCCCTGCCTTTCTACTTAAGCCATCTGCCACAACATTAGCCTTTCTCGGATGATACAAGATGGTAACATCATAATCCTTCAGTAGTTCCATCCACCTCCTCTGTCTCAAATTCAAATCCCTCTGAGTAAAGACATACTGTAGGCTACGATGATCCGTGTAGACTTCACAGTTAGCTCCATGTAAATAGTGTCTTCATTGCTTTAATGCAAACACTACCGCAGCCAACTCCAAATCATGGGTCGGATAATTACGTTTGTGCACCTTTAATTGCCTTGAAGCATAAGCAATTACATTCTTCTCTTGCATTAGTACTGCACCCAAACACGAATAGGATGCATCACAATAGACAATGAAATTCTTACCTTCCACTGGCAAGGTAAGAATTGGTGCGGTAGTCAACAAAGTCTTGAGCTTCTGAAACCTTTCTTCACATTCATCCGACCATACAAAAGGAACATTCTGCTTTTTCAAGTTCGTCAATTGGGAAGCAATGAAAGAGAATCCCTTGACAAATCGACGGTAATAGCTAGCTAAATCAACAAAGCTCCTTATTTCTGACACTTTAGTAGGTCTTACCCAATTCTTCACTGTCTCAATCTTAGAAGAATCCACCATCACCCCATCCTTAGAAACCACATGCCCCAAGAAGGACACTGTATCTAGCCAAAACTCACACTTGGAGAATTTGGCATAAAACTTTTTGTCCCTCAACATTTCCAATACAATTCTCAAGTGCTTCTCATGTTCCTTCTTGCTCTTTAAGTATACCAATATATCATCAATAAATACATCACAAAGAGATCCTGATATGGCTTAAAAATCCCATTCATCAAGCTCATGAAAGCAGCAGGGGCATTCGTAAGCCCAAAAGACATTACTAAGAACTCATAATTCCCATACCTGGTCCAAAAAGCAGTCTTTGGCACATCTGCTGCCCGTATTTTCAATTGATGATAACCAGATCTCAAGTCGATTTTTGAGAAGGTACAAGCACTTTGTAACTGATTGAACAAATCATCAATGCGAGGAGGAGGATACTTGTTCTTAATCGTTACCTTATTTAGTTGTCTGTAGTCTATGCACATCCGAAAGCTTCCATCCTTCTTCTTCACAAACAAAACAGGAGCACCCCAAGGGGATGCACTTGGTCTAATGAAGCCTTTGCTCAACAACTCTTGAAGTTGGGCCTTTAACTCCCTTAACTCAGCGGGAGCCATTCTATAAGGGGGTATAGAAATTGGGCGAGTACCCGGTTCAAGATCGATGCAGAAGTCAATATCTCTATCCGGTGGCATACCAGGAAGGTCTGCAGGAAACACATCTAAAAACTCGCGGACTATCAAAACTGACTCAATTCAAGGTACTTGGGTAGTATCATCCCGGAGGTGTGCCAAGAAAGCTAAACAACCGTCACTAACCATTCTCTTAGCACGAAGAAGGGAGACGATACGAACCGGATTGGAAGTGTAGTCACCCTCCCACACTAACGAATCTGTCCCAGGCTTGGCTAACGTCATAGTTTTAGCATTACAATCCAAGATTGCAAAATTTGGAGAGAGCCAAGTCATACCCAGAATTACATTGAAGTCAACCATTTCTAAGATAACCAAGTCTACATGAGTATTGCTCCCTACAAAAGTCACAAGACAAGACCTATACACCTTTTCAACTATCACAGACTCACCCACCAGAGTAGAAACACGAATAGGCATGTCAAGCAATTCACAATGTAAATTAAGACCATTAGCAAATGCGGATGATACATATGAAAATGTAGAGCCAAGGTCAAATAATACAGAAGCCATACAATCACAAACCAAAAGATTACTTGTGATAACAGCATCTGATGTCTCCGCTTCTGACCGCCCGGGGAAAGCGTAACAATGGGCCCTATCACCTGTCTACCCGTTGCCCCTACCATGTTGTGATGTAGTGGCTCCAGTTTTCCCATCACCCCGGTCGTTTTGGTGACCACCATTACCTCGACCACCGCGTCCTCTAGAATGACGGCCTCCTCCATAACCACCTCTACCTCTAACATTTGGAGGTCTGTAACTCTCTTTTGGACAATACCTCTTAATGTGTCCAGTCTCCCCACATCCATAACACTCTCTTGATTCAAGCATAGGTCTCTCAGAGAAGTGTTGATCGGTCTGAGGTGGACCCCCAACTACAGTCTGTAGTGAAGATTGAATTGGTCGGACTGAGTAACCTCCTGATCGTTGTCCTCTAGAGTAAGAACCATTAAACTCACCTCCCTTTCGAAGCCTTTTTAATGTAGTTGCCATGGTAAAGTCATCTGGCTTCACTCCCTCTACCTCTATCATGAAGTCTACCACTTCTTGAAAGAATTTCGCTGTAGCCGCTACCTGTAAGGCTGAAATCCGCAACTCTGATCTCAACCCCTTCACAAAACGGCAAATCCGCTCTTGTGGACTGAAACATAGTTGGGTGGCATACCGGGATAATGCACGAAACTTAGCCTTATATGCAGTAACCGACATCCTACCCTGCTCTAGGCTTAGAAACTCATCTCTCCTCCTATCCCTCAAAGTACGGGGTATATACTTCTCCATAAACAAGCTAGAGAATGATGCCCAAGTCATAGGTGGTGCCTCTGTTGGTTGACACTCAACATGTGACCGCCACCACATTTTGGTGTTTCCTTGAAACGGATAAGTCACAAACTCAATACCAAACCGTCCTACTATACCCATCTTGTGTAGTAGCTCATAACAATTAACTAGAAAATCGTAGGCATCCTCAGTTTCAGCACTCTTGAAGACTGGAGGTTTCAATTTCAAGAACTTACTGAAAAGTTCATGCTGATCATTTGTCATTATCGGCCCTGTAGTCAGACGAGGAAACGTGCCTATTTCCAATGAGGCATCCATGCGGGGAGCCACAGTAGCCACATGTTGTACCTCCGGAGCCTGAGGTGCTGGTGTAGAAAATACTGGAGGCGCTTGACCTTGAACCTGCTAAGATAAGCAAGAACCTGATTGATCATCTCTGGGGTAAGTTGGGGTGGTAATTCCTCATCCTGTACTTGTTCATTTTCCCCATCCTCCCCTTCTCTTACTACCTCTTCAGTCGGTGGAGGAGTCACTGCCCTAGTACCAGATGGGCTAGGTGCTTGTCCTCTTCCTCTAGAGGACGTCCTCCCACAACCTCTACCGCGGCCTCTTGCCACTACTCCTCTTTGAGCTACAGTCTTAGTTGCTGACTCAGATGCATCTTGTCTTGCCGATGTTGATGTTGGCGAGGTTGTTGCTCTAGTTCTAACCATCTGCCAAATAGAGTGAAGATTGTCAGATACCAATTTGTATCACGTAGATACCAATTGGATCCAAGTAATAGCACGAAAGAAAGAAAGAATGGAATTTTCCTAAAGTCTTATAGCCTCTCAAAGAAGAGTAAAGGCGTTCCCCTACCGTTCCTCAAGACTCTACTAGACTTGTTCTTGTGTGATGAGACCAACGAACCTAATGCTCTGATACCAAGTTTGTCACGACCCAAATCGGGCCGCGATTGGAACCCACACTTACCCTCCTATGTGAGCGAACCAATCAATCTAAACCTTAACATTTCAATATAATATCAACAGAAAGTAATGCGGAAGACTTAAACTCATTAATAAAAACTAATTCAATAACTTCTAAAAACGCAACAACTATTATTATTATCCCCAAAATCTGGAAGTCATCATCACAAGAACATCTATCCTCAAATTACTAATCTAAGAGTATCTAAGAAGCTAAAATACATAAAAAGCTAGTCCATGCCGTAACTTCAAGGCATCAAGACATGAAGAGGAAGAATCCAGTCCAAGCTAGAAGCATTAGCTCACCCTGAAATCCGGAGTAATGAAGACTGGCTAGAGTTGCGGTTGAGTTGAAGACGACGGTATGTTTGCTACACTCCACAAATAATCAAAAAGAAAACATACAAGTAGGGGTCAGTACAAAACACAGGTACTGAGTAGATATCCTCGGCAAACTCAAAATAGAAAATAGTATATTTCAGATAGTATCATAAAATAAACTACAATACTCAACATGTGGCAATTACAATTACCATAACCCTTGGTCATAACACCAAGCTCATCAATGAGGACTCACGCCTCCCCATCATACCCATTTGGGAATTAGGTTTATTAAATTGAGTATATTAACATGTTTCAAGATTCATTCTCTTTACTAATCCTGGTGTAGGAACGTGACACTTCGATCCTCATCATACTATCCTGGTACCCGAACATGGCACCCGATCCATATATTCTATCTTGGTGTCGAAACGTGATACTCCGATCCTCATATACTATCCTGGTACCGGAACGTTGTACCCGATCTATATTCTATCCTGGTGTCGGAATGTGACACTCCAATCCTCATATACTATCTTGGTATCGGAACGTGGCACCCGATCCATATTCTATCCTGGTGTCGGAACGTGACACTCTGATCCTCATATACTATCCTGGTACTGGAATGTGGCACTCGATCCATATTCTATCCTGGTGTCGGAACGTGACACTCCGATCCTCATATACTATCCTTGTACCGGAACGTGGCACCCGATCCATATTCTATCCTAGTGTCGGAATGTGACACTCCGATCCTCATATACTATTCCTGGTACCAGAACGTGGCACCCGATCCCCTAATTTCACTACTTTCGTTCATCAAGCCTTCTTTTATACCAAAGCTTTGTTCTTCTTCTCGTTTCTCCTCTTTCTCGTTCGATTCTCTTTCTCTCTCTTTCTGTTCTTTTCTTTTTCTTATTCAAACCCTCTTTGTTTTACCCTAATTAGCATATAATTAAGTATAAAAGATGATGAATTAACCCATTAATTAATTCAAGGTTATCTCTTTTAACCCTCAAATAGTTAAATTATTAACATTAACCCACTAAATTTATAATTATAGCACGAATAGTCCAAAACCTCCCTTAAAACATTTAAAGAAATCCGACCCCACCTGGGATTACGCAGCCTGTGACGGGCTGTCGTGCCTGCGACGGTCCATCCTGCTGAGTCGTCACAGAGTTCAGAGACTCACTTTTTATTTAAGACCCTGTGACGGCCCGTCATGCCTTTGACGGTCCGTCCTGCACTTTCATCACGAAGTTCAGAGAGTCGGTTTCAGTACCCAAATTTCAGAATTCTAAGTGTTTTGGAACGAGACCCCATCGACGGTCCGTCGTGGGATCCGTCGTCTCAGCCTGTTTTTCTAGAAATAAAATCTGCTGCTCAAACGACTAAACAGGTTGTTACAAGTTAGCTAGGGGCACGTCCCAGCAGTTCTAGTTAGTTAGAGGTTTTTATTTAGACATAGTTTTGTCACGCTTCGAGGTTACCCCTTGACATAACACGAAAACCTAGGATCGTGAGTGACCCTAAAATAACCTTAATTTTTTTTTAAAACCTAAACCTATGAAATTTGAAAACCCTAGGAAATCCTTAATCATAAACTTTAAACCCTAAAACCTATAAAAAAACTAAACCCCAAGCCTTATGAAACACGAACAAACCCTAAACCCTACGAAATGCTAAACCCTAAAAACACTAAACCTAAAAAAACTCTTATAACCCCTAACTCCTAAAAAATCAAGAATTTTTTTATGTAATAAATGTTATCTTTTCCTTAATACACTACTAAAAAAACAATGAATACCAATCTAAAATTATTGACCTCAAATTGAGGTTAGTAATTTCTGACCTCCGAAAGTCAGTATTGTTAAAAAGAATAAAAAATTACAAAAACTTTAGAAAATCGAGTACAACTAGTCGGTTTTTATGCAAAATAAAGTAGGAAAAATTTCGACCTCAAAAGGTTGGATTTTTCGCGAAAAAAATGAATAACAATGAAAATCAACCTCGTGATGTCAGTATTAAATAGAACAAATAAATAACCATATTTTATTTTTCTCAATTAATTATAAAAAACAAAATTTAGATATATTTTGATTTAATATTATTTAAATTGCCTTCCGGAGGACAGTTTTGTGTAAAATAAAAAACAAAAAAATATTATAATACAGATATCCGGAAGTCGGTAAAATTAAATAGTATATAATTATATTAGTTTTTAAAAAAATAATATTACAATGACTTCCATAAAATTGATAAATTAATATTTTAAATTAACTTTAAATAAATCTATCAGGCCCTAAGCTATTTCTCGAAAAGCGGACACGAAACCTAGGAACACAAGTGATCCCAAGCTAACCCTGCTGGCATGATGATGCTCAATACTAAAGATAATAAGTTGATGCGAAAGCAAAATCAAAATTAAATCTGAACAGATGGGGGATACCCATATTCTATAACTAACATATTTGAAAACTATAAGTTTAATATAAAGGAAATATTAACTCAATACTAAGCTGAATCTAACTATGTTTGAAATAAGCCTCTAAACTGGACTAGAAATACTGGGACAAGCCCCAGCTAAATCTACAAAAAACTGAAATTAAAAGACTAAATACTGAAATGACACTCATGATTGTTGTCCTTGGAGAATGAGGACTCGCCATTGAATCTGCATAACTGGAGATCGAAAAATCGATCTATACGTGATCTGGATGTTGAGAACCTGAACCTACATCACGAGAAGATGCAGCACACGTATGCGTCAGTATTTGAAAGGTACTGAGCATGTAGGATAGAATAAAGCTGAAATAAAACAGAATTGAACAAACATAAAAACAAGTATAATAATCTGACATGATACACTGAATTTTGAGCTAACTTAATGCAATGATCAATTTATAACATGCTGAAACTGAATACTGAATATACTGATAAATGGTCAATGTAGAGAGTCTGACTGATCTGTGGGAGCTACTAATAACCGATAAGAAAATCACATGAGCTAAATGTGGAGTCCGATGTAGCCCCATCGAGAGGACCCAATATACCCTGCCAAAGGTATAAAGGCATGCTGACATGATCACTAAACTGATTGCCCACAGAGAAGACTTACAACCTATTTGGCTAGTAGTTCTGGGACTATTGGGTACGCTAAACCTTAGTCCAACTCGGTATTATGCTACTCGCAATGTATTCTGTAAATTTTACTGATTATGACTGCGTTTCTATAAATACTGGATAGCTCAAAACTGAACATGCAAACTGAGAATGCAACAATTAATTTGGTAATTTGCATTTATAACTGAGGCATGTATATCTGAAGTGTCTGAAATATCTGATCTAGCATCTTTAATTCAAGAAATAGAGAAATACAAAGCTAGTGTTTTGAAATTCATGCGATAATCTGAATAATAACATGATAATCCAATTTGGAACATATATTTTTTAAATTCATGAAGTTCTATTGAAGTTCTAATAACCCTAGAATCTAACCATGATATGGGAATAAAGAATCTGACTAAAAACTAGGGACCCAATGGGTGAAAGGAACCTACTAGTGAAATCCCACATACTTGGTGAGAAATCCACGGAAAAATACTTAGGTTTCAGGTCTGGAATCGCTGGAGCTTGTTGCTTTCTTAAATAGGGTTCTTGAGCTTTTTCTCCTCTCTTGCTTCTATTTTTCTATGTTCTGATTTAATGATTTGACTTAGATATGTTTTAGTTATGTTTCTAGGCTTAAACTGACTAAATTATGATGATTTAGGGTCAAAACAATGTAACTTAGGGTTCAAACAAAGTTGAAAAGGTCCAAAAGACCCCTGGGAAAGCTACTCTCAGACCAAATGATGGTCAGGACTGACGGTCCGTCGCTTGACCAACACCCCGTCGTTGGATTCGTCGATTGGGCCTGTTCGAAAGGCCTTTACTAAAATTGGCATAACTTTTTACTTGGAGGTCCAATTTTATCAAGGTTAGTGGATATGGAAAGCTAATTCAATTATATATATGTAGGTAGGTCATGGGGCACCTAATTTATTTTGTACTAAGAGTTATAACCATTTGAAGTTGACCCAACTGCATTTTCCTTAACTGTCAGCATATTTTTGACCTACAGATCATAGGTCCACCTACGGACCGTGCTGGTCATCCGTAGCTCTTGTCAGAGAGTAGGTGAATGGGGTCTCGATCGACGGTCATGGAGTACGGACCGTCGTCTGATCTACGGACCGTCGGTTCGTCCATCGATCAAGACTTCGCCAATTTTTCTAGGCTAAAACTTTTGGAGTTTCTGATCCCATCAACGGTTGTGCAGGACGTACCATCATCTGTCCTACAGACCGTCAATGCCACCGTTGGTTTCACCAATAGATTTTTCTGAAAAACTAATTTTTGATCTATTTTGGCTGTGGGGTGTTACAAAATCGTCTTTCGGATGACGGTTTAATATATATTAAAAAATAAATTAACATAAAATACCGACCTCATGAGGTTGGTATATTTATTTCATTCAAATATCAACCTCATAAGGTCGATATATTCATTTAATCCAAATACCGACCTTCATCAAATACCAACTTCATGATGTCGGTATATTTATTTCATCCAAATACCGACCTCATGGTGTCGGTATTTTTACTTCATTCAAATATCGACCTCCTGATGTTGGTATTTTTACTACATCCAAATATCGATCTCATGATGTTGTTAACTTTACATCATCCAAATACCGACCGCATGATGTCAGTATTTTTATTTCATCCAAATACCAACCTCATGAGAACGATTTTTGGGTAAAATTAAAAAAAAAATATTATATAGAAAAACATTTGGAAGTCGGTAAAATTAGAAATTATGCAATTAAATTAATTTTAATTTAAACACATTGTTTTCTATAATATGTTTGTATCCATTTAATATTGATAATTAGTTTTAAATATGTGATAATTTTTTTGTGTCCATCGAGTGTTTGTTAAGCATAAGTACCCACAATAGTTGATCCTATTGATAACAAAATTGATTTTCTTGAAAGATCAATTTGTATCCATCTAGTGTTGAGTTGTTAAGTAAAGCTAGAATAATTAGACTTAGAAAGTTGTTAAATTGTTTATTAAGTTAAACTGGTGAATATAGTGTCAGAATTAAGTTAAAACTAAACTAATTAGACTAAAAAAGTTTTTAAATTGTTAAATAAATTAAAATATGTAATGTGATTTAGTTGGTGAATAAAATGTTGGAATTAAGTTAAAACTAAACTAATTAGACTTAGAAAGTTGTTTATGTTCTTGAATAAGTAAAATTGGTGAATATAGTGTTGGAATTAAGTTAAAACTAAACTAATTAGACTTCGAAAGTTACGAAGTGGCTTTAATAAGTTAAATTGGTGAATATAGTGTTGGAATTAAGTTAAAACTAAACTAATTAGACTTCGAAAGTTACGAAGTGGCTTTAATAAGTTAAATTGGTGAATTAAGTGTTGGAATTAAGTTAAAACTTAACTAATTATACTTAGAAAGTTGTTAAGTTGCTTTAATAAGTTAAAATATGTAATGCGATTTAGTTGGTGAATATAGTGTTGGAATTAAGTTAAAACTAAACTAATTAGACTTAGAAAGTTGTTATAGTAAGTTAAATTGGTGAATATAGTGTTGAAATTAAGTCAAAACTAAACTAATTAGACTTATAAGTTGTTAAATTCTTCAAATAAGTTAAAATATGTAATGTGATTTAGTTGGTGAATAAAGTATTGGAATTAAGTTAAAACTAAACTAATTAGACTTGGAAAGTTGTTTAATAAGTTAGATTGGTGAATATAGTGTTGGAATTAAGTTAAAACTAAACTAATTAGACATAGAAAGTTGTTTTAATAAGTTAAACTATGTAATATGATAAAGTGTTGGAATTAAATTAAAACTAAACTAATTAGACTTATCTATTTATAGAGGCAATTTTCGAAGACTTGTCATCAAGTTAGGATAAAAGTATGATTTAATTCATCTTTCATTTGTCTATTTATATTTTAATTAATTGATTGATTTTTTTTGTTTACCATTCTTTGTCAATGAACTCATATTTCAGCTTAAGTTCGGATTTGGGTATGCAAATATTATTTTAAATTGCATTGGTACTCACTATAATTGTTTATACCCGACTTAGGATTTGATTCCAATTAACAACAGGAGGCAGATGTTCAATGAATTTAAGGTACGAATGTGCATCAATTAAATTCACGTCATATACATTAAATTCGTTATTCATTTGAACAATAAATATTTAGTTATTTTTCATTACAGAAATATTATGTATGGGCTCCCGAACATGATGAAGAACTCAAGAGAACTAAAAGTTTAAAGCTTCCAAATTGCTTTCTAGCACAATTAGTGTATGTCGGAAAAAAATAGAATTCCTATGTTTTCCGTACCAGGTCGATTGGGAAGATGGCTCGCGCATCAGAAAAGGGAGGCTCTTTGCACACTGGTGGAGCAAGAGCTATTAGCCTAGTTACTAGGAAGGAAAGAATGATATACTTTCTTAATTTTGTACAATATTTTTTTTTCTTTTTTGATAAGTAGTTTTTGGAGATTAAATTCTATTTATGTTATTTGCAGGAAAAAGAGTTAGGTAGGTCGGTAGCTGTAGAAGAGTATGAACCCTGAAGAAGAAGAAAGATGAATTGACCCACCTGATCAAGAGAAATATATAATAACTCTATTCAAGCTAATATTTTTTTTGTATATATTACATTCTTTTTCGTAGAGTTCCTTGTTTAAATTACAAGATAGGTTTAAACGAATATCTTAGAAATATCATAGTATTCTACCTCTTGAGAGACGGGACAAATCATTTACACAAGAAGAAAGTGAGAATTTTCGAAAACAAAATGCAAGTGAACTGATTAGAGGTTCATTCTAAGGCTATCCAAAAAAGACATATCGAAAGAAGTAGGCTTGATATTGTAGTTCATCATCCTCTAGCTTCGATGGCGGGGATAAAGACAATATCTGTAATGGAGGGTAAGATAGCTTCTCTCAATGTCAAGCTTGATGTTGTAGCCGACATAGAGAAGAAGAGAGAAAGAGAGAGGAGGAGATTGCGGTAGCAAAAGATGCTGAGAACAAGAGGTACGCAACGCTTCAGGCCCAACTAACTTTTCTTTTTGAATTAGGAAATATTCTTCCTCCATATCCGGCAAGCAGTGATGGATCAGAGAATGATGAGAATGATAAGTCTGATAAGGAGAGTGAGGATGATGAGGAGTAGTTGTATCAATTTGTCATTCTAGACTTCAATATTTTTGAAATTGTTTGATCGTGTTTTAGTTTATTTGAAGATGGATGAAGGTCATTTTGTAGTCGGGTGAAATTTATTTTGGAATAGTTCAATATATGTATTGAAAATTTTGTGTTGTTTTGGTTGGATGAAGTTTGTTTTAAAATAGTTATTTGGAATTCTTCGGGATGGAAGAAGTTTAGATGAAATAGCTTATTTGGAATCTTTGGGTTGTTTTGATATAATATGCAAGTGGGATACTAAAGTTGCAGCTCAATGCTGCCAGTTTTGTAGCAGAAATACCTACCTCTGAAGGTCAGAATCTCAAAAAAATTTATAAAAATATCGACTTACAGAGGTCGGAATCTCAAAAAAAAGATATAAAAATATCGGCCTCTGAATGTCGGAATCTAAAAATAAGAAATAAAAATACCGAACTTCGGACGTCGAAATCTAAAAAATAAGAAATAAAAATACCGACCTCCAGAGGTGGAAATCTAAAGATAAAAAATAAAAATACCGACATCTGGAGGTCAGAATCTAAAAAATAAGAAATAAAAATACTCACCTTCGGAGGTCGATATTTCAAAATTTGAGAATTAAATATTCTGATCTCCGATAGCCGAAAATAATAAAAATAAAAAATACATAAATGGTAACCTCCAAATGTTATTTTAGTAGTGGCATCCATACACCATTTTTGAGAACTAAAAGTAAAACTTTTTTAAACTAACCATTATATTTTGAGAGTTTAAGAGTTGGAGTAGTTCGAGTCTAAAAGTTCTTGAAAATAATAATTTTAGAAGGAAGAAGAGAATGTTATTTTAGAGATTCGAATATTTAATAGTTA